GACACGGCCCCGGTCTCAGCTGTGGATCGACACAGCTAAAGACACGGTCCCAGTCTCAGCTGTGGATCGACACAGCTAAAGACACGGCCCCAGTCTCAGCTGTGGATCGACACAGCTAAAGACACGGTCCCGGTCTCAGCTGTGGATCGACACAGCTAAAGACACGGTCCCGGTCTCAGCTGTTGATCGACACAGCTAAAGACACGGTCCCAGTCTCAGCTGTGGATCGACACAGCTAAAGACACGGCCCCAGTCTCAGCTGTGGATCGACACAGCTAAAGACACGGCCCCGGTCTCAGCTGTGGATCGACACAGCTAAAGACACGGTCCCGGTCTCAGCTGTGGATCGACACAGCTAAAGACACGGCCCCGGTCTCAGCTGTGGATCGACACAGCTAAAGACACGGTCCCAGTCTCAGCTGTGGATCGACACAGCTAAAGACCACTGGTCAGTGCAACATTATTCAATCTGTCTCTAAAGTTCTCTGTCAGACCTCAACTTTTCTTTTTGTTGGGACAAAGTTTTGACTCAGAAATATATTTTTGTTATTAATTTATGGAAAGAAAAAACATCAAGATACCGTGTATCACCATTCATCTTACAAATATTGAATATTAATGTTGGCCCATATCGCCCAGCGCTACCAGAGAGCTACAAAAACAACCGGGCATCCTGACAGGAAGCACCACGGCCCTTCAAAATAAGAGCGTAGACTCACCACTGAGGTGTGCTCGGCCCACTGGCTGACCGGAGGAACCGGGACCAGACTGGACGGACTGGGAGACACAAACAGGTCAGAGGTGAGTCTGAGTGAGGTCAAAGGTCACGGAGGTGTGTCTGGGCTACCTGGCTCTCTGCAGACTCTCTCTGAGCATCATCTCCACGTTCTCCTCCTGTTCAAACACAAACACAGGAGTTTGGGTTCTGCTTAACGGAACTGAATCAACGTTCTTCTCCCGGCAGACCAAGAGAAATCAGACAAATGAAATTCAACAAAAACAAAAGATTATAATTTTTAAAAGACATGAATTTGTTTATAAAGTGGATTTAAATGATCCTGTGTGGGTCTGATGGAAACAAGCAGCAGGTTCTGACTCACCGGTCTCTTCAGATCCGATCTGTCTCCGCTCAGAGAGAACGGAGACAAGGGGACACGCTGATGGAGGAGACACAAGAAGACGGTCAAATATAACAATACGCACAGCTTCTTCTGACTTCAGCAGAGGATCAGGTTCTGTTCTGACCCGTGCCGTCACTGTCGGACTTCATCAGGACGGATTATTTCCCTTCAGAAGTTGAGTTTAGGATCCTTTTTGAGTGTGACTGAGGTCAGAGGTCAAAGGTCAGAACCAGAACAAACCTTCTGAAGACTCACCTGAGACGGGTTGATGGACACGCTGCTGCGGCGGAACCGAGCCGACGGCACCGGGCTGAAGACGCTCATCCCGTCACTGAGAGACACGAGGACACGTTAGTTATTGGATTTAAAGTCAAATATGAATCTTTAAAGATACACGTCCATCTGAAGAAGCTGGCAAAACAACCAAACATGTATCTGCTGATTTAAATCCAAACATCCGGCTGCACCTTGAGACGCTTCAACTCATCAACGGAGCAAAAATACAACATTTAGAAACGAAACGAATAAGAAACCTACTGGTACTGAAATATATTTTATTAACACGTTTTTACAACAAATTACCTCATTCAAATGCAAGCTAATGATTATTTTTTAACTGAGTACCAGATAAGAAAATAAATTATAAAAAATACACAAAATCACTTTGTATTTTTCTAAGTCACATATTTGTGTAATTTTTTAAGTACTCGTTGGTATAATGATGAAAAAATGACCCCGAAGAAATGAGACGTTGTTACTTGTGGGAAAGTTATTTTTCTACATTAAAAAAATGTGTTTAAAATTATGAGAAATCTAAATTTAAGCTTTTTTAAGTTGGGTTCGGCGGTACCCCGCAGGTGTAATACCACAGACCTGACACCGGTGATCATGGGGGCGCTGTTTGACCTCCGGAGAGCTCCGCCCCCTGCGCCTGCGCATTGGTCCACTTCCATCCGCTCCATCCTTCGGTCCGCAGGCCGTTGGGGGGCGGCGCAAGCAGCCGGCGTCTGAGCTTCCTACGGTGGGGACGGTCCGTAATCGAGACCGGTGGAAGCCCGACCCGCAGGCCTCACAGACAGCGAACCCAGATCCGCCGAGTCAGCGGACCGAACACCGAAACCACGTCCGATTACCGCATTTTCTGCGCAAATAAACACCGTTTCCCTCCGTTTCTTCGGGCCGAAGCGACGGTTTCCCCCTCAGTTCCGCTTCACTCGCTCCTCTTTCTGTGACGAAAATAAAAGCAACCCTCGCTTTAATCCGAACCAGAACCGGTCCAGGTGAAGTTTATTAACCGTGTTCTGCCCAGCGGTTCCGTCTCCGAGTGGAAACTTTAAACCCGAACAGCTGACGGGACTTTAGGATTAGCTGTTGAGCTAACTTGTTTTTGCTGTAAAACCTCCAGAGACCAGAAAACTGATCAAAACGGCCGAACCCGGGCCGGTCCACTAGTCCTCAGGGAGAAGTCTTCCCTCTGTCCCCCGAACCCGCGTCCAGACCCGCAACAGGTCCGAGAATCCGAGAAAAACCAGAGTTTAAGGATTTTTACAACATAGTTCAACAAATAAAGAAGCAGTTCTGGAGCGAAGAAATGGCGCCGCCTGGTGGTCAGAGCGAGAAGCGCAGGAGGAGGTTCTGGTTGCTGGTGAAGATTCTGTCCTCCAGGACATGATCGATTCAAACAGCGGTCAATACAAAAACAACTGGACTCTATTAACGTCTTCTGTTACAAATAAAGTCCAGCTGTTTTTGTATTGATCGTTTTTTGAATTCTGTTCAGGTTCTGATCAAAGTTCTGTTCACTTCAGTTTATATACAGTGCCAAGTTACAACAGAAGTCGTCTCAGGGACTGAACAGAAACATTCTTATTTAAAAATAATAACTCAACATTATTTATGTGAGGAGCAGACTGTAACATCTATAAGTGACCAGGATTCCTGAGTCAAGGTTATGTTTCTTAAGTAAAGGTTTAATTACAGCAACCTTAAAGCTCTGTGGTACATAACTGTTTATTAGAGACAAAGTAATCAGATCCAAGACGTGGTTATTAATTACAGGAAACATGTCTAAACAGCCTGGTTGGGATGGGATCTAGCAGACATGTGGATGGTTTGGATGAAGTTATTATTTTTGACAATTCAGAGCTCAACAGGACAAAAACTGTCCAAACATAAATCAGGCTCTAGTGACATTTCTAAAGTTGTCTCATCTGACAAAGAACCAGAGGTGATACTAGGAATGTTGGTTTGAATTTTTTCCCCTAATTGAAACAATTTTATTTATAAAGAATTTCATGAAGTCATCACTGTTTATAGTTGTAGGGATACATGAATCAACAGAGACAAGATTTTTCATTAGACTAGCTATGGTGCTGAAAAGGAACCTGGGGTTATTTTGATTTTCAACAAATAGAGACGAATAATATAAAGTTCTAGCTTTACAGAGCACTTTCTTGTATGTTAGCTGGATATTTCTCCAGGATAAGTAAGATTCCTCAACATTAGTGGAGCACCATTTTCCTTCTAGCTTTCTGGATGTTTGTTTTAAAGTACGTAACTCAGAATTGCACCAAGGAGCTAATCTCCTCTGATTACTTTATTTTTCAGCGGAGCAGCATTATTGAGAGAAGTTTGCAAAGTAGTTGTAAAATTATCAGCTAGATGATGTCACTGTCCTCTGATATATTACTCTGCAAGACAGGAAAACGATGGAAGAGAATCTTTAAATTTGATTGCAGCGTTTTCTGATAAATGCCTGCTAAGATGAAATTTACTCTCTCGGGGACTGTGTAGTCTCTTAATGTAAACTCAAAGGTTATTAAAAAATGGTCGGACACAACAGGATTTTGAGGAACTATTACCAAGTTCTTCTCTATGCCATAAGTCAGAAGCAGGTCAAGTGTGTGATGATGAGAATGAGTAGATGTTCTGACGTTTTGGGTAAAACCAATTGACTCAATTAAGTTTTTAAAGGCTATGATTGATCTATCACTTTCAACATCTACATGAATATTGAAATCACCCATTGTTATGACTTTATCAGTATTTAATAGTAAATAGTTAAGAATTCTGAGAATTCAGACGAAAACTGCGCACAGGAGCCTGGTGGACGATTTATAACTGAGAGTGGCCGTTCTGTTTTCCATTTAGGATGGGACAGACTTAGAGATTTAGAGACTTGGAGACCAAGTTCATGTTTTGATCAACTTCTGATCAAAGTTCTGATCTGGTTCTGTTCAACTTCTGATCAAGTTCAATGATCCATTTTAGCAGAATCTGAGACGTTCTGAACTCATCTCTAACGTTGTTGAAATAAAATCCGTAAAAACGTTAATCCCCTCAAATGCACTGAAGTCCATGCTCAATCCAGGTGTAAATGTTCAGTCAGGTCATCTGGACAGTTTCTTTTGTTGCTGAGACATTTCATCCAAAGAGCTTCTTCAGTCCGAGGAGGCACAAACAAACTGTAGTCCCACAAATACCACACTCCCATAGTGAAAAAGAAACCAACCAGTTTGCTGGTGCTAAGATGGTTCCTGAGGCCCGCCCTCTCCCCCGTCAACTCCTCTGCCAAAATGGTTCCAAACGCCAACATTCTCAAATGGTTTCAACGATTTATGAATCAAAACCTTCGGCTCCTTCAAGACCTTTGTGCCGAGACAGATTGTACTTTTTGAAATATTTAGCTTGGACAGACATTTTTTTTCTGCATTGAAAATGAAATCATGTGAGCTGTTTAAAACTTTTACTGCTCATTTCAGCTGTTGTTCTGTTTCAGCTCATTTCAGCTCGTTTCAGCTAATTTCAGCTGTTGTTCTGTTTCAGCTCGTTTCAGCTCATTTCAGCTGTTGTTCTGTTTCAGCTCA